GCCGCAATAGTTAAATTCTTTAAAACATTAAAAAAACGTTGAAGGAAGAACGCACACACTCTGCTTCTTGAAGATGATTTTCCCACTCAAAATGTATCCTTCTTCTTGAGTCATACAAATAGTAGAATAGTAAAGGGGCGTGTCCAGAGGGATTCAAATCAGAGTAACAGGGGGGACATTCAAACGGGGCACACTTTAAAAAGAACTTTAAACAATAAAAATGAATTAATATCATCAACTAAAATGTGGTGAGGAATATTAGCAAAAGGGTTATGCAACAGTGACCCAAATGTGGAATTTGTTTTGTATTTATTTGATTTCTTTTTTTATATCTGTTACAGAAGTTGAGCAAACATGATTTTGGACACAGCAATAGAGAGGCGAAGTCCCGCCCATCTACTTCCGACCCATGGGACCTTATTTCGTAAACATTATGTATTGAAGTCAATGGAGAGAGAAAGATTATCTTCTCAATCCCGTTTGAATTGTGCCACGAATTACACATATGATGTTTGTCAATCTTAATAAATCATTTCCATGTCAAAAAAGTCACAGTTTGTCGTAAAACTGTTGAAATATAAGACTATGAAAAATACGCAACTAGAAAGACTACAAATCCCAGAATCCCGGTCCCGCATGCTGGCTCTTACGGAACCGACTATCTCCCCTTGTGTGTATGTACAGCTCTCAACATGCCCAGACTTGTAGTGATTTTCACGTCTTTTAATACTTTTCACCTCATTCTGAAAGAAAGAAGTGAAATGTGCTAACGTGACGGGTTACTCATATGTGTAATTCGTGGCACAATTCAAACGGGATCGAAAGATAATCTTTCTCTCTCCATTGACTTCAATACATACTTTTTCCGAAATAAGGTCCCATGGAGGTCCACCGGAAGGGGAGGGACTTCGCCTCTCTATGGACTTTTGTACTGGATATCACAGAAGCATAGCAAGAGCAGAAGGTGAAGAAAGAAAAATTAACTTGGTAGGGACCAAATTGGAATGTTTGTTTGTGTTATTTCAGCAATCACGGAAAAAAGTTGGTCCTTCTATATTATTTGGCTAAGATTATCGTCTATGCCTTTGGAGCACTTGCTTGCTGCGAATGGTAAAAACATGCGATACCACAAATTATGGTCTTCAAAAGGGGGATACTATTTTTTTATTGAATAAAACAAAACCTAAAGTGCAGAAGCATTTCACGGTGTATTCATCCTTTTTATTTATTTATCCGTGTTTAGGTTCCTCAACGTGGAGCAACACAGGAAACAGTGTTGGAGTGAAGCACAAACCTCTAGAAAACCAGACCAATAAAAGCTCAGCTTACAGCAACATGTCCTCTGCTGTGCCAAACCTGAGCGCTCACCGCGACAACGCTTCATCCTCACACATCCCCACTGTCTGCTTCGACCTGGGAGATGAATGGGACGACTGGGGAGACTTTGATGATGAGAACTTGGTGAATGCCAGCGAGATGTCGTATCAAACCAATACTGTACCTACAGTCCAGCAGTCTGTTAACTACAGTGTGACAGGTAGAGTAATACCTTACTTCAGGTGTGATCATGACGGATTATGACCCAACTGTTGTAATGATTTTGATAAGAATCCAGATGTTTCATGTGTAGGCTTTGCTGCAGAATCTGCATCAGTACTCCTCAATCGCTCACAAGTCAAACCCCGGATCACCAGAACACCACTGAGGTAAGGGCAGACAAATGTCCACAAATGATCTCCAATTAAGGTGTGGCTGTAACACAAGAAAAACAAATAATGTGTGAAATATGTCAAATATCATCCCAGAAAATAACACAATCATTCATTTTGGTTTTATATTGTAGCTAAGGTAGTAAAACATTTGTCATATTTTTGTCTTTTAGGTCAATTTCACCAACTGTAAGTCCTGGATTCAGACATCCACGATCCTCATTGGTCACAGTCAAACCACAAAACAGACTCACACTTGACTGGAATATAAAGGTGCGTGTGTGCATGTGTGTGTGCGTGCGTGTGTGCGTGTGCATGCAGAGATCTACATGGATAATATTATTTTAGATACAGACCTGTTTCTAATTTGTTTAACCGAAAATCCTACTGTGGTCATAAGAGACACAATGGAGCCTTATTAACATCTACTACTGTTATTGTGTCTGCATGGCTACATTTAGATGTCAACAACACATATGGCAAAAAGCAACATTTGTTATCAAGGTTGCTGTTTTGCTGATGGGATTTTGGGTCCTACCCGGTACTTACTCCTAGGTTAAGATAAGTCAACTGAACTTCAAAACGCTGGCCCTTATGGCACATGCCTGTCTTCCTCCGTTTGCAGAGACCAATCATATTCCAAGAAGGGATGACAGTGACGACCCCAGAAATTCTCCCAAACGTGGCCCCCACTACCAGAGGGTTTGATTTCTTCTCACACAGCCTCCCATCCAACAGCAGCTCATCTGTCAACAGAAGGTAGAGGAAACTATTATAACAAGGATTTTTTGACTTATTACAGTGTTCTTTTTTCTCCATTAAAGCATTTTGACTAAAGTACACTTTTTTCACCCTCTTTTTATATTTAGCACAAACTGCAAAGAAGAGGAAGCTTTCCTAGGGATATTTGATGGTTTATTTTAGAAGTGTTGTATGTATAACTGTTATATGAATATGTTGTTAACATAATATGTTTTCTTTATGTTTGTGTTCGCTAACATGAGATTTGCATGAAGAGTTGTTGACTGTTCTATAGGCTATTAAACATTATAATAGTTAAAGTGCATTATATGTTCATATTGTAAATGAAACAAATTTTTTCTAATGTCTTATTGTTACTTATGTTATTTATTTATGTATTAAAATAAAGTATGTGTTGACTGGAGGACTCATTGCATTCTTTGGGGTATTTCAACATTTACTACATCCACTGGAGATGGCTATACAATTACCTTTATTTATTTAATTTAGCTATTATTACATGTACATTTAGAACTATCAGGATGACACTATTTACTATTTACTATGTCCTAAAGTTTGTATTAAGAATATACCATCGGTGGTTACAAGGCTAAAATGACATGGCGTGCGCACTGTTGTACAGTAGGGGGCGGTATGCAGCAGTCTGCCAATAAACCGAGAGAAGAAGAAGAATGTGCCGATGCTGCGCGAGAAGCAGGAGATGCGACGTCACTTTTAGCGGGGAGTTTGTTGTTCGCGGAAAGCTTCAGAGCCTGAAAGTCCACTAACTATTGTATTCATCCGCCGACAGATAATTATATGTTATGTATAGGTTTTTGCCTATGAAACATACGCCTATCACCGTATGGTGTGTTCAGGCAATGTTCATATGAAGAAAGAGTTGTACTGAACGACAAACTAACGCGGTGAGTTTATTTTTGTCTGACGCAAGAGGCTGTGGTTAGCTATAGCTTGACAGACTGTAGCTAACAATAGCTGCCAATAACAGGATAGTTTGCCAATAACTTTAGCAAGGAAATACAGTTTTCCATACGCTGTCCAACTTAACATTACTTCCATAAGTTAATATGACATATTGTAACGTAAATATTGGTGGAAGAAGCACTCATACCTTTTATTTTAGTAAAAGTAGCAATACCATAATATAATAATATTATTATGTAAAAGCCTGCATTTAAAGTTTTACATAAGTAGCAGTATAAAAGTATTGGCATCAACAACAAAACAATTACAAAATATATTGTACATGCAGATCAGAACGACCCATTTTGGCATTATATATTTTACACATTAATGACGCACTTATTAATGTATGACTTTAATGTTGCAGCTGGTAAAAGTGGGGCTTTTTAAAATATGTATATACAGTGGGGCGAAAAAGTATTTAGTCAGCCACCAATTGACCTTTCGCAAAGCCACGCCCCTAAATGCCCGTTGTCCAATCATATTCGATCACGTGCGCGGCTCCCTGTGGAAGTCCGAAAAGCTTAGCGTTCAAATTCATTGCGAAAATGGTGAAGCGTTGTGCTTATGGTATTTGGAAATCGGATAGCAGATATCCCATAAGCTTAGAGGGGGGGGGGGTGATATTTTACCCGTTTNAGAGAAACATCAGACTTAATAGTAAAACACTGCAAGGGAACATTTTATTGCACCAGGAGCTATCTTGGGACTTTTACTGCGACAACGTTGACTTGCCACAGGCAAGTCAACGTTGTCGCAGTAAAAGTCCCAAGATAGCTCCTGGTGCAATAAAATGTTCCCTTGCAGTGTTTTACTATTAAGTCTGATGTTTCTCTATTAATATTGCTGCTGCATTAATGTGTATGTTGCATCATGTTACTGCTGTAGATGTGTTTCCGAGCCGCTCCGATTACAACGAGAGTTACAACGAGAACGTGACGTCATATTTACACTAGACGGATCCTTTCTAGCCATAACCCGCCAGATGTCACTGTAGTGAATATTTCTGTATATTTTTTTGAAAATCTAGTGTATTCATAATTTTCCTACACATTTATTCACTGGTGTCTCTAACCTGCAAGTTGCTCTTTAAGGTACCAAAAGTATAAGAACTCATTATGAATTATTTATCTCAGAATATTATATGTTTTGAGTATAATTATTGATGCATTAAAGTGTTATCAAAGATGGTAAAGGTGCAGTATACTTTGTATACTGCAGGGCAGCTTGTGAATTTACTCTCCAGGTGTAACTAACGTTTTATTTAAGTGTTGATTATATTTCACATCATGAATGCTGCGAAGTAACTAAATATTTAAAAAAAATCTAGTGGAGTAAAGTATACAATTTTACCTCTGAATTGTACACAGTAGCAACAAATTGAAGTAGGCCCACTCATAAAATACAAGTCTCTCAAAATTATACAGTAGCCTACCTGAGTATAGTACTTACCATTTCAAGTAATACAAAACAATTAGACACATTTTAAATATTGTATGTGACAAGAAAAAACCTTTATATATACAGTCTATGGAAAAAACACACTCGGGTGTTTACATCCAGAGAGCTAGGCGGCAGCAGCCCGCAGAGGCTCAGCGCAGGGCCGCATCAGGAAGAGACCGTTGACGTTGTTGCGCCTTGCTAGATGATTGGCGAGGTAAGATGGCGGCGCCAGAGGAGCCAGAATTATCTCAGGCGCAGACTGAAAAACTCCTTCAATTTCAGGTAGACAGCTACATTTCCGCACTATCACGTCTCCATTTAAAAAACCTTATATGTTAATATGCAATCGTGAAACTGAGTCTCTGTAAATAGGGAGAACTGTGCGTGTTTGAACGCTTTTTGCCCAGTCAACTTAGCACAGCCCCCTAACGTTACTCGTCAACTTGAGTCAGAGCTAACGTTAGCAAAGCTAGCTAACATTAGCTAAGCTAGCTAACAAGTTCGCTGACTTAATGGGCCATTGGTTCACTTAGACAGCTTAACGTGTTTCACATTTTAGTCAAATACTTACCCAACATCCTACTTTGTTAACCAACATCACTCGTGGTTTGTTTTTATTTACATTTCTTCCCTACCGTTAACTTGGCTAACGGTGAAGGTTCACTGACGCTCCCTACTAAACACTGCTGAGTTAGCATTAGCACAGCAGTCATGATGGAGCTGTCACTGAAGTTTCCCAGCGACACATCTGTTTTAGCTATTCCACATGAAGTTGTTCGTGTTATAACAATGCACATGAGGAGACGTCCCACCCTCTTTAATCCATAGCTTGTTTTGCTTTTTTAAAGTCCTACATTAACAAAGGACGCCGTCAGAACTGGTCATATTTTGGGCAGCTAGCTAACCTGTAAATGATCGTCATCCTGCTTTGGCTGAACGTTTTCCTACATGTTGACGTTTATTTTGAGCTAAGATAGCTGCCCAACTAAAGAGTAGTTATACAGCTACATGGATCATATAATTCCAGCCTAGTGTTGTGCGATTCTATATAACTTTTGTATATGAATAACTTGATACAGAAAACCAGTAGCCTGTAAGCTACTGAAAGGAATCCCTGACTATCAGCAAACGTGTTTTTTTATTTTTGTATATATATTTTTTTATTGAAGAAACATGCCATATAGAAAATGCATTTGGCTACATCATTGGGAACCACAGTTAAAGAATATAAACAACCAGGGCCGACTTATTCTTAACTACTATTTTACATCAACTGAGGAGCAGTTGCTTTTGTATTTGTTTCCCTGTTTGTTCTTCTCTTTGAAGGCATACACAATGCTAGCACATTCATAACCAAAACAAACCAATAAACCAAAAAGTAAGAGAGCAATTAACAAACTGACTAAATAAATAACAAAGCAGACATGTTTCCCTGAGCAACCTGAGGCCTTTAGAATGACTTTATTTTCTTGTCTCACAGGACCTAACTGGTCTGGAGTCCATGGACCAATGTCGTCGAACATTAGAACAGCATAATTGGAACATAGAGGTAAGAAATGCTTTTTTTCAGAGTATTAACAATTGTATTGTTATGTTTCTGTTTACATTGTATTTCTTACATATTCTGTTAACGAGGATTGCTCTCTTTGGTTAATATTTTATCCCTTCCTTATTGTTATTGAAGGATTTTATTTGTATGTGATGTTCTTAAATGTATGTGTTTCAGGCTGCAGTACAAGACAGGCTTAACGAGCAGGAAGGAGTACCCAGTGTGTTTAACCCTCCGCCATCCAGACCCTTACAGGTCAATACAGCAGACCACAGAGTATATAGTTACATCGTCTCAAGGCCACAACCCAGGGTAAGTCTGCTGTTTTTTTTTTATGTTTGTGATCTCTTTGCAAAAGGTTAAATATTTTCACCACAAAATTAAGCTGTATTTTTCTTTAAATATTCTTTACAATGGGTTAATGCTCAACACAGAGTGTTACTTTGAAGGCAGTCTTTTAACATGTTTCATCTTAGTGGGGTGTTTTTGTATTTAGTCATTTTTAATTGCATTCTAATGACACATAGCCCTCATATATTGGATTTTTTTGTTTACCTATTTTCTACTTTCGGAATGTAACAGACTGCTTTGTTCTTTTCAGGGACTACTAGGATGGAGCTACTACTTGATAATGCTACCTTTCAGATTTACATATTACACACTTCTGGATATATTCAGGTAATTCAGGCACATTGATTTAAAGTTGCAGCTGGTGGATAGATCAAGGTTAATAACAGCCTCAATGTTCTTTTTCTTCAAGGTTTGCCCTGCGGTTTGTCAGGCCAGATCCTCGCGGCCGTGTGACAGATCCTGTTGGCGATGTTGTGTCCTTCATTCATAGCTTTGAGGAGAAGTACGGTCAATCACACCCTGTATTTTACCAGGGAACATACAGCCAGGTGAGTCCAGAGAGCAGATGTCCGATCACGAGCACACTGTTTTCTGATCTAAATCAAGGTGAAATTGCAATATATTGAGCTTCTCTTGTTCACCTTGAAACAAACAGGCACTGAATGATGCCAAACGGGAACTTCGCTACCTATTAGTGTACCTTCACGGGGAGGATCATCAAGACACTGACCAGTTTTGCCGGTATGATCCTTATGTCCATACTTGCCTACATCCCCTTAGCGTTTGCAACTAGAATGATCAATGCACCGATTTATCCTCCACACATCAGTGCCAGCCCATATTTTCCTTGTCATATGACTATTGGCAAAATGATGACATGGCCTATATGTAGTTGTATAGCAGACTAAAAAGGCTTTGACATTTGAAGTAATTTCTTGTTGCTGTTTCATAATTTTTTAAGTTTGTTGGTACTTAATGCGCCGTCTGGTTTGTCTTAACAACATGTTATAAATGCACTGATCCTCTAGTATGATATCAGTATTTTTATTTATAACCTCTGCTGTATTTTTATTGATCCATACGCATATAAAGATGAGTTCCCTTTGGCTTAAATAAATGTTTTGTTTTGTGCTGTCTGTCATTTCCTAGCTCTACACTATGTACAGAAGAGGTCGTAACCTTCCTCAACACACGTATGCTCTTTTGGGCATGCTCAACCAGCAGGCCTGAGGGCTACAGAGGTATGACAGATGCATTGTTATTCAACCCAGCATATTCTTGTGTCAGCTGTTCCTAAAAATGTAACATGTGTTGTTCTGGTCCTGAGAAATATCTTTGACATTTCACTCACACATGCAACCCTGTTTAATGTGTCCATCCCAAATGAAAGAGATTTGAGAAACTCAAATTCTGGGTTTTAAATATGGGTAAAGGGCCCTATCCTATGTTTGACATCAGGTGATTGTCCTATATTGTCAGTGTTTCCACTAGGATGGAGTCATAGCAGCGGTGCTAAGGCACGCAGGCCTTGCAAAATGTGAGCGCGGAGCGTGTGGAATTTTTTTGCGTGCAAAGTGCGCCCCGCCAATATGCTTCTATTTGTCTGCCAGCACAAGAAAGGCTCTTGAGGCTCTACAGGTGTATTTTGCTAAATCACCTTTATTGAACATACAGTAACACAAATACTACACATCCACGTAACAAACAATCAAAAATAAAATGTATGCAATTTAATTATTTTAACCTGCTGAATATACATTTATTAAAATAAATAATTATGAAATATGAAAATGGACCTCCTGAAGCTTGGGAGTAGAAGCTAGGGCACCAGACACTGGCAAATAGTACATACATCACTGACACACCAATGATTCACATTGGTCTTGAGTTCTTCATTCAGACTTCTGTCATTACCCTGATACAAAATCAAAATGTGTTGTTTTAAAAATAACATTAAAATAATTGTGCAAGCTATGTGAATACATTTCCCTGTGGAATCGGTGAGACTTCCCTGAGTCATATCTTGGTGTGTCTCAGTGTCCCAGGCTTTGCGAGAGAACACCTATCCATTCCTGGCCATGATAATGCTGAAGGACCGCAAAATGACGGTGGTGGGCCGGCTCGAGGGTCTCATTCAGCCAGAGGACCTCATCAATCAGCTCAACTTCATTATGGAGGCCAACCAAACACATCTGATGTCTGAGCGCATGGAACGGTACTGGACATGAATACTTTCACACTAGATGTAACATCCCCATTTACAATGTGGAGGACTAGAGGTTACATGTGATGGTCCTGAGATCAGGATTGAAGCAAAAAACATCCAACATTTATTGTTATTGTATTATTGAGACAGTGGTAGTAGCATTTTGTCCTTTGGTACAACATTAATATTTTCATAAGAGACAACATGTCACGAAAACAATCTTTTATACTATGAAACTTAAATACTGTTTTTACAATTCAACACAATATTCTTTCTTACATATTCTTGGTTTAATGGTACTCTGCCAGTGTATGTTTTTTTTATAAGTAAAGAGCATGCTTAAGTGGGCGGCTGTGGCTCAGTGGATAGAGTGCTGGACTCTGAATCAGGGGATAGCAAGTTCGAGTCCCACTGCAGTCAGCATGTCGTTGTGTCCCTGGGTAAGACACTTCTCCCCAAATTGCTCCTGTGGGGATTGTCCACTGTACTGAATGTATGCAAGTTGCTTTGGATAAAAGCGTCTAACAAATGACATGTAATGTTTGGTTTCAGGGAGGAGAGGAACCAGACCCAGGTGCTGAGGCAGCAGCAGGATGAAGCCTACCAGGCTTCTCTCCTTGCCGACCAGGAGAAGGACCGAAAGAAAAGAGAGGAGGAGGAGCAGGTGAGGCAGGAGGAGGAGAAGGCCCAACAGAGTGTTCTGGCAGAGGAGCGGAGACAACGGGTGAGTCTTACTTTCCATTACATTTATGCTGTCCATGCCCGTATTCTGTATATGTAGACCTTGACCGATTAATTCATTACTTACATTATTTATTTTGGGTTCACATTGTCAATTTTTTGTTATGATTACAGACGCTGGAAGAGGAGAAGGAGAGGAAGTCTGAATGTCTTCCCCCAGAGCCGCTGGCAGATGATCCAGAAAGTGTCAAAATAGTGTTTAAGCTGCCCAACGATACACGAGTAGAGCGACGATTCCTCTTTGGGCAGTCTCTGACGGTGAGCACAGCTGTTATCAAGACCCTGTGTACCCCCTCTTAACCCTCACTGTCTTATGTTATCCAGAGATTGGACACTCCTAGTTTCTTCAAACACATTTTGTCTAAGCATTTGATAGTTAGAGCAAAGTATCTGGACTCTCCAGCTGCCCTGCCCCTGAAGAGCTCAAATCGAATATCTTTTTCTCCCACAGGTAATATACGACTTCCTCTTCTCTTTGAAAGAAAGCCCGGAGAAGTTTCAGATAATTACCAACTTCCCTCGCCGCGTCTTGCCCTGCCTTCCGACTGAAGAGCAGCCCAACCCCCCCACACTGAAGGAGGCGGGACTCAGCCGCTCTGAGGTCCTTTTTGTTCAGGACCTTACGGACGATTAATAGATGACATACCTCCTGTACAATGGAATTACATTTTCCTCCAATGCCCACCCACCTCCTCCTTTTTTTTCTTTTTACTTATTTTGTTAAATGGCCGTTATGCACAAGGATCATTGAGATAAAATCATAACCTGGAAAGATTTAACCACCCTGCATCCAGTCCATTGTCTGGTTGTGTGTACGGGGTTCCCAATAGCCTGGAAAGTCTTGAATTTTATCAAATAAATATTTCTTGAAGTCCTTCCTTGAGCTCATCTTTGTATCCGGGGGAACCAAGACATTTGTTTTCCATTGTCTGTATTAGCTACCAGTTAACTCCTGTCCTTCCTCACCGGTAACTGTTGCAGAAAAGGATTAATCTTCTACTGAAAATACTGAAGCAGTGGCAAGGCTTTGTGCACAACCAGAACTACATCCCAAATTACTTAACGTCTGGGCACCTGAGGAAGGCAGGCTGTATTAATACTTACTGACACACACAGGATGCATCGTGGGAAGGCAGGGGTTTCTATGATGGTGTGACTGCCTTGGCTACTTTAATTTCAAAGACTTCATGTTTGATCCATGTGTACCAATTCAACATCCCTTTTGCCCTTCAGTTTGCACGTTTACTCCACACTGATTTTCGAACTCTGTACTGCTCTAAATTAGGGACGGTGTTACACTGTCAGTCTATGTGGTTTGGAGAGCAAATGTACAACATCAGGGAGCAGGTGGTTGGATTTGGATATGAATTATGGGAACCCTGTTTTAAATGAGCCATGATATGTACATAAGTTAGATATTTAAAAACCCAACATTTACCTTGAATTTTGTTTTGTTTTTTAAAATCATCTGTGTCATGCAATGGCACAGATGCAAGTTGGTTACTATGTGAAAGCAGACTGTGTCAAGCTCATGAAATTTAAAAATATGTAACAAAGGCCACAGCTTTTCCATGTGGCTCTATCTAGTATAGTACGAGTCTGCCCATAGTGTGCCTGTGGTGACTCATAGATGCCTGATTTGCCTGTACCATCAAAATGGGCTCATGTAAAGATGTAATTTTCCAACTATAAATTAAAAACCTTTTAAAAATGTTGGTTTATTGACAATCTACAACACTCGCTTGTGGTAATGGTGCGTCACCTAAGCAACTCTTTACTGTGCTCTGATGAGTTGGAAGCACTCTTTAATGAAACTGTAGTTTTGATGTGTTTGATATTTTAGTAACTTGTTAGAATTTCTATTTTTAAGTTGTGCTAACCTGACAGGCGCTTGTAAAGGGAGCCGTTAGACGCAGTAGCAGAGTACAGTATATACAGTATATTACATGCAGGCTTTTGAAGAGTATTAGTATGAACTGTGGATGATTAAAATGTACTATTATACATTTCATGACATTCAGAGGCCGCACAAAATAATATCATCCTTGGCATGTGGGCGCTGTTTTGAGGAACTACTGTATCGCAGTAAAAATTGAATTATATACAACCGTATATAATTAAATTTTTATAGCATACTCAACTGAGATTTCTTTAATAACTTACTCCAGTATGACATATTATACTAGACTAGACTTTTATGACTTTAAAAGTATGACTCATGTTATTGTGATGCATAATATACATGATTTTGCGTGTATGACCTGCTTCACTGACATGAATCTGACATTCACTGCCTTTTTTTTTCTGACATTCAATTTTTTTAGGGGCATTTTCTTTACTATGTTGTTTTTCAAAAATATTTTTTTACGACTTCTGTCGTGATATTAAATACTAACTCATTTTTACTGATAAATGTCACCTACTGTACCATTTCCTTTAAAAAAAATATGTTGACGACATACTATAGGAATGTTTTTTTGAAAAAGATATATTTTTTCGAGAACTATACTATGTTGTTTTATCTGATATTATTTTGAGAACTATACTGTCGTTTATTTTGACATACCAGAATATGCTATGTATTGTTTTTTACGCCATATATACTATGTCGTTTTTTCTGATATTTTTTCAACACAAGTCGTTTTTTTCGACACAATATACTATGTCGTTTTTTCTGATATTTTTTGGACATACTGCATGTATCTTAAGTATTTTTTTTCGATATTATGTACTGTCGTTTTAAAAAATATTTTTTGACATACATTATTTCTTTTTTTAAACATTTGTTTTGACATTAGTATAAAGGTATAATTTTACATTAATTGGCAGGTTTAAATGAATACATAATATGGTTTAAACATGTAGATTTTTCTGATATTGTTTCGACACACTATACTATACCATTTTTTTACGACATGCTATATATTAACATGTTGAAATGCTATTCTATAATATATTTTTCTGATACTTTCATAGAGAATGATTCATAATCATTCCTATAATTTCAATAGGGCCTTTCGACCCCGACTTTGTCAGTGCCCAGATTCTAATAACACAAACACGATATTAGTATACATCATACATTTATTAGTGAACAACCCTTTCAAATCAGCCACAACAATAAAAAAAAAATATGATTGCACTACTTGGTAAAGCATAACTAGCAACTTTCATTTAAAAAAAGTACAAATCTTAAAAATTTCAAACAGTATACAGATGTATATATATAATACACTAACTAGTTATGTTAAATGCTACAAACAATATGATTCCAATGGAATGAAAAATTATAACATTAATAAGAACCATTTCCTATATATAATATATATTAGTTGTCCCCCCCCCACCCCCCAATACAAACATGGAAAAAAATGAGGTAACTGTAAATGTGCAAGTACCAAAGCAAAACATCTGCCTAACACAGAACACATGCCCCTGGCTCTGTTGGCGGGTGGGTAGTCTGGTGTTCAGGCAAAGGACCCCTAGAGGCCAGGGAGAGAAGAACAGTAAACCACTATCCCACCACAGCAAAAGTCATTGGTAAACATAAAATGGCATCTACGGAGCAATCAATCACAAATCCTAAATCAACTTTAGCTGCTTATTGGAACACATCTTTGCACCACACAAGCTGTGAGCTTATTCAATAACTCTTATTAACAGAAAGACTACAAGACTCTATTCTCAGTCGTCACCAAGTTACCTCGTTACCTAGGCCTTAATGGGAGGTTCTCTTTTCATTTAAAAGGGTAGCTGGATATCGTCAATTAAGTGCTAACATTACCATGAGTTAAGGTATCTATATGTGAACAATACATTTTAGGATATTGATACACTGAGAGCAAGAGCCTGATAGGCAGTAACAGTACTACACTGAAATAAGTATGACAACAATTTATTCTTTTTTTTTTTTTTTAAATCCCTTAAACTATATTGATTTTCACTGACATTGTTTAGGGGTATTAGTATAACATGCTTTAAGAATACATGGGATCCATGACACACTATTGCATTCACGCGGGTGAGTTTTCATACCTAAAAGCAGAACATCTAGCACCTTTTCACTATGGCTTTTGATAAACTACAGTAGTTTCAGAGCATGTCATCTTCAGTCATTAGGGCAATAACAGTAACACAAGGTATGGAAGAATTTCTGGATTCAAGACCAGTTTTTTTTTCTTCTATAAAATGAAGCGCAATAAAATCTTGTAGTCATTCAGTTCTATTACAAATGTGTGCAGTACAATGCATGGCAGTTATCAGCTGAGCGTTAAGATCCAAACCCCCAGAACCCAAAGCCAACTAGAGCTAAAAATCAGCTGGGATCCCGTTGACAAGCATGCATATTGTGCACCGTTAAATAGGTCCCCACCAGATTTTGCAAATATCCTCCGCTATAACACATTTGTTATACTTTTTTTAAGTCATGCAAAACACCTCTGAAGTAGATTTGGGAGTGAATTAGGTAGGATAGTGTGCACAGCGGCACGTTAACAAATGGGTTCACAACCGCTATGTTTAACATATGGTTTGAGTAACAAAAGTCAAACTGTTTTGAATAATACACTTGTAATGAGTTGCAGTGTACATTGCGTGTTTTCAGTTAATATTAATAACATATTTACTGATTTTTTTCTCGCATGCCTGTCTTTAAATGATGTAATATCTACTATTTTCCGACAAAACAGAATATTATAATTGATTACATTAAATTATTTGTAGTCTGAGGAAGGGGACCACACTAAATTCAGATATACCCTTTTCATGGCATCCTTTTCATTTGAAATGGACTGTTCTCCTTTATTTTTTATATACCGAGAGGCCCTGAGAGTTTTTTTTTTTAACTTACAATATATGCCAGCAAATAGATATGTACACATAGGTTAATTCTCAAAGCTGTGGGTTTAACTCATTAAATGGCTTCTTTTTTTTTCTCTTGAAAGTGGCACACACGTCAAAGACTCACATTCAATTTGGAAACATAAGTAAAGAAAAAGGCAAGATCCCTTTACACATAAAAGCAAAAGGTTACAACCACCTGTTAGTGCTTACTGGGGCAGTTAAGAGACAAAGAGTGAATCCAAAGCAAAAGTCCATTCGCTGCTCTTTTCCCTCCCACCCCAAACGTTTCCTGTTTTTTTAAAGTGTGAACACAAGCAGGGAACTAGAAGTCTAACAGTGTTTCTACACTCCTAAACACTCCCGCTTTGTCCTTTTCAACCCTGTGGGGTGCACAGTTGGCGTAACGTGGAGTGTCACCAGTGACTTCTACAAGGGTTTTCAACATTCTTCTGTCTTCAAACGTTTATCTAAAAGCATTCACACTGAAGCTATACATACAGTTGCTCTTTTACAACACCATCACCATGGCCTTAGATAATGACCTGACCAAGTTATAACACATACATTACAGATATGTTAGTGCTCCAACTCTTTCCTTCAATGTTTTTTCTCCAGAAGAAAAAAACAATAAATAAACCTTTTTTTTTTTTTAAACGGCATACTTTTAAAACAAGTGGAAATGACAAAGTATTTTCAGGATTAGTAATAGGTTTGTGCTTGTCAAGGTCATAAGAAGGCAGATCTGAAATCTTGAACAGTAGGCTATAGCTGTGTATTGGATTTGGCTCACAAACAATGAAATAAAAAGCCCGGTCTTCCTAAAGGGGAAGAAAGTTCATTTGATACTCGCCACTCACTGCACATATTGCTTTCTGCACAGGCCTCCAGAGTTTTATGGCATCAGCAAAGCCTTCGGACTCCCATCCTTACTCGCAGTCAGGGTGGTACCACATGCTAGTCTTCCCTCATGGCGCTTTCTGAATAAGCAAGCAGTTCTTTTAGTATGCTTCTTTGTTTCGTCTTTTTCTTAAAATTAGACAATTTTGGTGGCAATGCTTGATTAAAATATTGCTAGTCTGAATCAACAGTTCATGCAAATCCTAGCATGCTGCCCTGTATCCAGTGGTTACACAATGCATTGGCTCTGTGAACAGGACAAACATACACACGCACACTATATGTACACACGCATTCACACTTGCCAGAGGAACAATGCTGACGTGGAGGGTGGATGTAGCACTTGTGCAGTTATGCCGGATGACCTCAAAAAGACGCAGCCCATTAATCTTGACTGCTTTGTACAGATCTGTGTTCCAGGGTGGAAAATCTGGGCTAGAAGAGACCCCACAGTTGCATGTCCCATCACTTGCGGTCCATAACGCCAGGCTTAACAGAATCTGCATTTCACCACAGCAAGTCACACTTTCACAAAATAATTGGCAAATCTAAAACAAATAAGGGGTATAACTGTTGAAATGATCAATACATTATTGCAGAACATACATTATTAACAAGTCACTTTGCCCAACACCTACACAAACATGCATCTATGATGGTCAGGCGTCGCCTCCAGACACAGATACCCATGTTGAAGTGTTTTCTATTATTTTTCTGCTAATTGCACAAGGTGTCCAGCCTATCATCCTCCGGGCTCCCGACTCACCTCTTCCAATGCTAGGACTTCCAACTTTCCATGAACACCACAACCAAATCCACTAAATAATAATGAAACCCTGTAAACAAAAGCAGCAAATAATGCATTGTAGGGGGGAATCTTTGGAATCTGCAACGAGGGGGCAGAGAAAGAACTGGCTGGCGATCCCAGAACTCTGGCTATAGGCTGCGATAGGCAGTGGGTTTCATGAGACTCGGACGATGAAGCACAGCAGAGGTACAACAGGCTCCAGAAGAAAATCCTGGATTGCTTATTATTTAGGAAGGGACATGAGTCGTGGGTTGGTAAGCTATATTTACTGGAGGACGCAGGGTAGGTGGCAGGTGTCCCCAGTTCTGGGACAGACTCTGGTGTGTGCAGCTTTCCAGTTCAGCACTCGGAGACAGTTCTCACTCCGCCTCCCGGTGGACGTCCGAGGCATCGGCTCGACAGATAGGACAAGTGCGATTGGTCTGGAAGGGAAGTGGAGAGCAGAAAGAGGTTCGAGCACAGCGGGCCAAAAACAGTCATACAAAATGATGGCAACACTTTGGAATGGACTTACCTTTAACCATTTATCCACACACTTTGCGTGGAATTCGTGGTTACAAGGTAATACCCGAAGTAGCTGCCTACACTCAAAGTCACTAAAGCACACAACACACCTGAGGAGAGATAAAGGATTGGGTTACCAGGATATAAATATAATGAGTGAGTATAATTTGATTGATGAATTGAAAGGTGAGGAAAAGGCTTACAGCGTTTGCTCAGATAGATGATTCTCTGAGTTGAATCTGTAGGACGGAAGTTGCTCTATATCAGCTTTAGTAAGTCCGCGCGGTTTCGCTTCACCCAACCGCTCCGCCAGATTCAGTAATGCCTAGAGAGAGAAAGGCAGAAAGAGACAGAAGTTACATTTGAGACTGCCTGATTACAATTAAAGAATAACCCCAAGTCGTCCAAAATACAAAGAGATGAAGGAAGGATTTGTCCTTAAATTCAACCAGAACATATTTTCCTCGAGGAGAAGGCATCACTACAGTTGAGTTGGCGGGAGAACATTTAATTGCTTGTCACAAAGCAATAAATTATTGTTATTAATGTTTTTACGTTTTCTTATTGATACTCTTTTGCTATGCAAGTCTTTGACTATTTCAACGTGTTGTATCTATCCAATTTGCTTTTCCACAAACCATAACACTCGCCTCATAGTTTTCCATCTCAACATCGTCCACATCCAGGTCTAGACTGATGGCTGGGCCCACTGCTGTTGGAGGCACAGGAAGCATTGACCTGAGCAGAAACATTAACACAATCTCAGCAACCTTCCATCGTTACTCTATTCATTTATCAAAAGCCAGATGTCGCCATAATATTAACCCTAACTCCACTGCAGTGTTGATACAACCAGTGGAATAGTCATTTGTTTGGAGGAGGAACTTAGAAGAAGTAAGATGTATAGTGCCATACATCATAAACTGGGTGATTTTGCTGCAGGTACTCACAGGAAGTAAGGGAGGAAGCCTGGGTAGTAAGATGGAGGGGGAGGAGGAGGGGGGATGGGTTGTTGCAGCCGGTATCTCTGTCCACTCACTCTCCGGGGCAGCAGGTGGGGGTATGGCTGAGGAGAAACACACAGAGGCAGAGTCATGTCTTAGGAAGTCTGTGATTAAAGAGGACTTGGTAATCCTAAAATAAAGCAAGTCTCAGGAGAATCTGACAGCACTAGAAAGGTTTTGGGGAATAAGGAAAAGCTGAAAAAAAGATTTTTATTTTGGAAATATGACTTTTCTTAAGCGGTCAGACTTAACAGATATGATATGATAATTACTTCTTTGATTGGCTACACTTAAAGTGAACTTAAGAACAAGATAAGGGGGTCCATATTTTGGATTTAACTAATGTGTTTTGTTTGTGATTATCACCAGATTTGTTTTTCTTTGTTTCCAAATTCATTAATTATATTCATAAGCCAAAAATAAATGTTGACCTGTCAGGAAAAACCCAAATGGAACTGATAACAACACTGATCAGTACAAGCAGTTACTGCAGTGCAATACAGTTATTCATGTTATCGGCTTGACCTGTAATAAGGCTCTATTTTAAGTTCTACTCATATTTGAGCCCCCTGCTAAGAGGGGTTTCTGCAGGATTCAAGTTTAAGACCCTTTTCCATGTATCATAGAGTAAACTGAATGCTTGTTTCACAGTTATACTGGCAAAAAAGGATGGAAAAACCACAAAGTAAGAATGATTTATTATTGCTTCACTTTTCTTTCAGTACCAAATCATTCCTATTGATATCATGAATGACATCCATTGCTGTTCCTCTGGCCCTGTGGCGGTCAACCCCAGACTGATGTAGCTTTGTAACATGTTTTCATTTCACTGAAGTGTCAGGGTCAGTGCTGTCACTTGCTCCTCGACTGCTTTCTGGACTGTAGACAATTCCAATTTCCCTTTTATTTCTAAAATAATATATATATATTTTTTATTATTATTGTTTTTTAAATGAGGGTAGTTGGATTAGTGCATTTTTTTTATGCAAGGCCTTTGTACACCAACGTTTTTGCCTCATTACATTCAGGCATTAATGAAACAAAGTTCAGTGCTATTGAGGATTATAGAAGTGTCCCCGTGTGCTGCAGCGCCTCCAGCTGTGAGTGTGTCGATCTGAACAGGTGTGATGCAGGTAAAGCTAAAAATAAGTTTCAAGTGCACCGTCAATATCCCAGGGGACATAAAGGTCTGAAAATGTCTCACCACTCCAAAGGGAAGCTCCTGATGCAGAGGCTCTTGAGGAAGATACTGTAGGGGCAGAGAGGGAGGCAACGCTGGTGGGTGGTGTGAGGGAGGGTAGGAGAAGGTCCTTAATGGGTGCTGGTCCCCTCTTAGGTCAACTTCATTGTCTACCCTCTGTAGAGGCTAAGAGGAGAGAGAGATGGTCAGACCCGACATGGATGTATTTACATTCTACATCCTGTGTTCTCATTATGAACATGTGAGTGCTGAGGACTACTCACCATGCGTGGGTGCTGAGGCTGTAAAGGGACAAACTGGCTCAAAGGAGTAAGGTGCGGCGGCTGATGGGGGGGTACAGATGGGGTTGGGTGCAATACAAAATGTTCGCTGGAGATCAGGGGTGGATAGGTTTGATAAGACACGGGCATATGCTGCATGGTACATGCCTGTATGAGCTGAGGAGGGAGAGAAAAAACACAAGAGTGGAAATACATTTAAGTAAGTCAATTTCTTCTTCTTTTTGTGTCAACAAGCAACACTTTGAAGCAGCATCTGCATAACCAAAGCAAGTGTGCTTTATATATATTTACAGGTAGTTATAACGGTCACATATTGTAAGCGTGTAGTGAACAGAAGCGATGTGACACATAAAACCACAGCACTGGCACCACACTAATAATGATTGTGAAGACTGTTTGTCCACACATAAACTAAACTAACCACAGATTTGATGTTTCTAATACAAAGGGCTGAAAACCAAGACTAAAGCACAAATCCTGCACAGTGACAGCAGCAGCCTATTTGTTAGTCATGAAGGTGACAGATTGCATGGCTGGTATGGTGTGCTACATGAATGCCACTGACATTTGGGCTCTTCCTTTTCAAACTCACAGGAGGAGGAAGGCAGCAGAGCAGAGAGAGCTGTCCGCTGAACATTACCGAGCATGCTGGGAGCTGCTGAGTGTTGCACCCTGGAAGGGGCTGCCCGGTGTGGATGGGAAATCCATGGGTCGTCACCGTCGTAACAGTGTATGAAATTGGAACGGATCCCTGGTGCATCTTTTGAGAAAGAAAAATGGAGGGAGAGAAGGGGTGACTCCACAGTCTGCCTGAACCAGAAGCCGGACTGCAAACAAAATGTCATTGCATAACACAGTGAAGGTCTCCTCCTCTCAAAAACAACAGACCCGGTGATTAACACACTTAATAAAGATGTTTTACATTCAAAACATATCAGTGTTTCTCCAACGCTGACATAAATGTTTGCTTGGATTCTTTCACTGATGACTAATGATCTTATCATCCAATGCCTAATATCCGGGTAAAATATGTAGTTTAAATAACCACAGTCTAAAAAATGTATCATAAAACTGTTAAGCTAACATAGATATGTTGCTATTACAGGAGACCAAATGAAATGCACTATTAACTTCATTCAAATGACAGATTCCTCTAGGTTTGTGGGGACTTGGAAACATTGTGGACAACGTAACTGAACAAATCAACAACATATATAAACAAAGATCTCAATGCTTATACTTTTAAATACAGAGATGTTCCATATAGAACATTTGTATGTACACCAAAGTAAGGAATATGCTTGGTCAGACAGGAACGTTGTAAGATCTTAAGCTATCAGGTTGTTTTCTCCGGTTACCTGGTCATGTAGGTCCACCATGATGGGGCTCTGCTGGGGCAGGTGGGCAGCAGGGTGAAGCATGCGTGGAGGTGTGCTGGTGTGGCTGTATTGTCTGGACTCATCTAAAGGAACCTGTTGGTGATGTTGGGAGAAAAGCAGATGATGGAAGTTCTCATCATGGACCAGAGAAGTGTGCAATATAGGCCTGTCTCGTCTCCCCCACTGGCGTCTCACTGGTGGGCTGAAAGGAAACACAGCACCAGATTAATGATGGTTACCGATAGTTCAATACACTATCCCAACTGACCTGTTCAATATCTCACAGTTGCAAAAGTCTTGGAGCACGACTGTGTTTACACAGACAATTGACATTGACACTCAATGTGCAACCTCATCAGATTAACAATACTTGTTAAGTGGTATAGTGATTTTTATTTTAATGACTAAAATGTATTAATCAAAACGTGCCGTAGAGATGAACTATTTAAAAAAGTATTTGTAAAACAACAAGTTTATATATCAAGATCGATTAAGTTGAATATTTCTAAATTAATGGCATAAGAGTGCACCAATGTTAGTTAGTTGAAGCACATGTCACTAAATACTAATTTACACTAATACTAACACATTTTAGGGACACAAGCATGTTGAGTTTTTAATGGTTTTGTTGGACATTGGTTCAGGTTTATGGTGCTCCATTCATCCGGCTTAGAATAGAGTCAGTGTGTAGTTTTGCTTGATATATGTGATGTAGCAATACACTGTTTATTTACTATTCATTTACATTCAGAAAAAAAGGCTGCATTTAGGTCCTATGCCTGTGAGTAAGGCATACACATAACGCTGATATCTGGTTCATCTTGAAAGGATCTTATTTTATTTTTATAATACTCTTAAGTTATATAAAACGCAATCAAAATGTCTATTTTTGAAAATGTTTTTACCTTCTCCGGAGATGCACGGGGGCACTGCAGGGCTCTCCAAGGAACCTCCTAGGGTTTAAGGGGGCTGTTGGTGGCAGCCTATTTACTGCTATTTCCCATGGTCGCATTGGTGACGTCGTGCAGACAAGTCACGCTCTGGGAAAGCAAACTGTACAGTGGAGGCACTTGAATGTTGCCTCTGATTGTCTTAACCCTGCAAAAACAAATCAATTGACAAAATCAAACTCTGCTTTTTATGCCTTTTTCCATTCTTTATCCATCTACTGAGAACAAAGTATGGTCATTAGGGGAAGTCATTAAGGGTCAAAACATTGGCTAGTTTTACTTTTTCCAACAAGAATTAACAGGCATCAAGTGAAATACAAGTGTACAGTCACATTTCAAACATTATTTATACGAGAAATCACAAATAATTTCTGATCTGCGTTACACCACAGACCCCATTGGGATTAGATATGATTATGTAAAACTGATGTTTACAATTATGCTAATAATGTAGATTGTCAAATAATGTTAAGTTAAATTAGGTCATTTATATGAGGAACATTAATAAGTATATTAACAACTCCTCTACTCTGCAGATTAGGTTAAAACTCAAACAATCCGACTTCAAGTCAACTGTGATGCAAATCCTCCAAACTAGGAATTCGAGAAATATTTCTAAATGAGATTATTTTGTATTTATTTGTTTTGTTAAAGGAATTGTTTATTATACAATTGTATTATAAAATGGCCTACATTTAAATCTGCTGTACAACATTGTACATTTGTTTTATCTCATTCTATCATACATATATCTTGTTTAATTATTTCCACATTTGACATTATTGTCACGTGCACTATTTTAAGTATGCTGTAACATTGTGGGAGAAACCTGGAACCTTAGATTTGTGTTTTTGCCAACATCCCCGCGTTAGTGCATTTGACAATAAATCCTTTGGATCTTGTAATTTGCTACAAATATAGATTATTATACTTTTTATAACATTTAATTCCACTGCCTTTACTTTCTTGAAATCTCACATTTGATTTGCCTCCAATGATGGTTGTTTTTAAGAGTTAAAATTCGCACATTACTACACTATAAATACAATTGAAAGGGTTCATGCATGTGCGTTTCAGTGTTTTTAGAAATAATAAGACAAAGAGCAGTATGATATCAGCCACAGGTGTCTAATTTGACTGAAGAACTAGTGACCAAATTCATGTTATCTCTAATAATAAAAGAATGTCCCACACATACGTACGGCAGTTCAGTTAAACACATTATATATTATATTTCAGGGTATTACAAACACTTTACATGTGTTGACGTAAACCAAATAGAAAATAATTTAGTACAGAAGGCCCAGTGTAATTAATGCGGTATATTCAGCGACAGAATAAATGGGGGTCGCTGTAGCCTGCCTGAACAAAAACATGGAAAGCCATGTGCTCAAAAGACAAAGCAACAACAAAAGACGAGGAAGGCAAGCGGGACCGCTAGCAGCCATGCAATCAAGTTTCACTGGTTTTTACGGATATTATGCATGAACCCGCACACTACACTGCATAACAATGAAAAACATCAGCACTCTGGCATCCGCTGGTTCTTCATTATCGGGGCTTATTCGACGTCCCCTGTTGAAGGAGAGCAGCTAACTTTAGCCAAGCTAGGCTAACGCTTTGTCCCGACATGGCAGGACACACCAGCTGCAGGTCACTAGCTATCTAGCCAGCATGCTAATACAAGTTGTATGACATCTGCTCAACTAACCCTGCATATTCTTCCAATGTGACACCGGACATAAATCAGCATTGTATTGACAGGTTTAGCTATGCCAGTTGGCCAACAACACAGACCACATCTTACTTTCTTAGCTTAGTTTGCTTGCTCGGAGAGAAGAGGGGATGGCAGCTGCTTCAGCCTCCGATATGTCGTGTCCCATTAAGTTATCCTTGCACGGTAACCGATAACCATCACCGGTAGAAACCAACATAACCTGAATATAAATCCACTGTTGTTTTGTGTCGGACGGAGCTGCGAGTAGCTTGCTAACGCCTGTCAGCTAACACTCCAACTGCTGCATAGGTTAACCGTTACTTTTCAAAAAAATGAAATATGCCCTGTGTGTCAACGGCAGCGTTTACCAGAGCAGAAAATACCGTTAACCGTTAGAGAAAAAGGTAACGTTAGCAACACAACGACAGGAAACATTCCTTGGCGCGTGTATGTTCCTTGAAATGCATTGTTATGACGAAACCACGCCCCCTTGTGTAACTGACCAATCAGCGCGCAGCATATACAGACAGCGGACATCCAGACCAGCGCTGATCAAGTCTATGATCCAGACAGTCTTAGCTAAATGTATAAAAACAAGCAGTTCCTGTTGTTACTTAAAATTAAATGTTAGTAACTTTGTATTGGCAGGACCACAAGGACATACAGTATTTCAAAAGCTTTGTACACGACATTCGACCTCTATACATGAATATAAACTTAGAATGTACTGTTAATAAACATTTTGAGAAAAAGCAAGAATAACATGAATTACACAATTTATTTAAAAATAAATAGTAATACATTGAAAAAGTTAAGGTGAGTTATTGATTATTGTGCAGAATAAACGCTCTCTGAGAGGTTGCAGGGTTAACAAACACTTTTGCAAAACTGTTTAATCTTAATATCCCTAATCCTAACAGTAAACCCAATGCCAGGCCGAAAACATATTGGGACCTTCCATATTTTCTTCTATTAGCTTTAAAAATATTTTACTTGTTGGGTGCTTGTACTTTATTGCCATGCATCAATGCATCTTTATAGAATACATTATTAATATTGCAGTTCCACCCCAACACATATACATCAAAGTACTGCTTGCATTTGAATGCATTAGTTGCTAATAATCATCCTTTAATAATGCATAATGAGTAGGAATTATGATACTTCAATTCAATCTTGTACATAAGAATCTTACTGTATGTACATTTGCTTAATTTATTTTAAATGCAGAACTTAATTTTGTTTTGTGATTGTCTATACCATAATTAAATACGTATTCCTCAACTGACAATCACTATGATTACACAATATCCGGAAAGGATTCAATGGTTAAAGTTATTTTTTAAATAAGAAGCATGGAAATGTTTAACCAGTTGAGCATCAATGACAGTAAAAGTTTCAGACTAAAGCATATCTCTTGTGCCAACCTGCACTTCTAAAACAGTCAGTTTAAGCTAACATGGCATTATAATGCTTTAGCTAACTATACACTAGAGTGTCTTTTGTAAAAATAAAAAGCTGCCTACAGTCTGTTGTGATTCTCACTGGAGGCCACAGTGTCCTACTGTAAACCAGCCTGTTATATAATGTTGCACTTGCATGTTTAAGTGAGAACCCTCCGTCCGCTATTGAACGACATTTTTCAGCTAGGATTTTTTAGGGCAGCGAATGGAGCTGCAAAGACTAAATGTGATGCTGCACATGATGCATATCAAGCTTTATAAGGCCTTACAAGCTAACCTATCAGGCCTACTTTGTCCAGTAAGAGTTAATAAAAATGTCCTCGTCTGTTTTGAGTGCTCTAGCGCATTAGTCTTTTGAATGCATACAGCAGAGTGTACCAAAAGAAGAGCTGTGTACGGAGAGCAGCAGTGGTGTGCAACATCATAGGCTAAATGTAAACATTACAACATAGCACTCAGTAGCAGCAAAACAAGGAGGGGCTGGAGGTTGAGCAGGATGACAGCCATAATAACCCGTCTAACCATCTCCCGTAAACACGCACCGTAAATCTCCAAAATTCAACCCAGACAAAGCGATAACAAGAGGAGACTTGTAGTTACCTGATTGTTAATATGCAAACATCTGATCATTGACATTTCCCTCGTAATGTTCACATCTCGTTAGGCTAAGTGCGGCATCCTACGGTCAGCTGTTCCCGTGTGGAACATTCCGTGGATTTCACCACTGCTGTCAAAAAGGTGCTAAACACTAGACTGTCGTATTATCCCCGCGGTCTGTCTGTATGTTGTGCGGGTTTATGGGTTTGCAACCCCCGTGATTAATTCCGTAATCGCCATTTTGGGGTTTTGGAAACGGTAATCCGGCCCAACGGTGTCTTTGAGTTTCTGCAGTTCCCTGTTACACCCCCATTTTTGCGTATTTGCAGAGCAGAGAGCACACGCCATGCTGCCATTTTTACCGTAATGGACAGAAATATGTGTCAGTCTGACTCGAAAGTTCAGGGTCGCCTGTTAAAAGGATTTATTTGTATTTTGGGAGTGTAAAGGAGAGAAAAAAGTATCCATAAGTACTAAAGCTAAATTAACCAACTCATTATGCAGAATGGCCCCTTCCCTTTATAAAAATGTACTTCTATAATAGTCAAATATATATCCAACCTTTGTTATTGGCTTATTGTTATATTTTACGGACTATCTCTGGACCTTGCCTATTTCTTTTTATACCTCATAAACTCTTGTAAAAATATAAACAGTTTTCCTACTGTATTGGAACGTTTACCTCATCATGCATCAACTGTTTATCATCTGTTTTCTAATCTGCAACGCAACTAAGAGTAGAGGTCAGATAAATATAATGGGGTCAAAATAACTAATTATTTCCCCCAGGGTTTTAGTGGAGGAATAAAGGAGCAGCAGAGGTCGGAGAAGTAGGCTACTCAGACATTGTACTTGTGTGAAAGTAGAAGTACCAAAGTGAAGGAATACTCTGTTACAAGTAAAAAAGTCCTTCTACCAAAATCTTCCTCAAGTAAAAGTATCAAAACATAGGCCTACTTAAAGGTCCCATGTCATGGCCATTTCTACTGATCATAATTCTTGTTGAGGTCTACTAGAATAGATTTATATTGTGCAATTTTCCAAAAATCACATTGGTTTCTCATACAGCATCTCTGTATAGTATGTGTATTCACTCTGTCCTAAACGGCTTGTTGGAGCTTCTGCCCCCCCCTCCCTGTGAGCCCACTGTGCTCTGATTGATCAGCTCGCCCACTCTGTTCTGATGAGTCCACCACAGTGGAACATCAGTGATTATGTGTCACAATGGCGTTAGCAACCAGAAAATGACACCAGTAAGGACAAACAGATGAGAATGCTGCGTGGGGTCTGGGTGCCGTTTTGGCGGGATGCTGCGCGGCTCGCTGGTGCGAGGAGCGGACAGTGTGTGCTGGGTTCATTTCCTGCTTGCTGCGTGGGATCTGCGAGACAGCGAGACATCGCAAATGGACGCGGGAAGGGGGGG